CTCTCAACAGAGGTGAGCCGCAGGTATCAGGGTACCTCAGGCTTTCCTGCTCCTAGACTGGGCAGAGGGACCCCTTTCACCTTCCATCCTGGCCTCCAGCCCTCCCAGTGGGTAAGTGGGCGTGTAAGAGGGATTCTGGCAAAGGTGTCTGTCGTTGTGGCTCAGGGGCCTCTGCAGTCTCTCTGGGACTCCCCGGTTTTAGCACTCCAAGTCCCACGTCCCGGGAACCCTCTCAGTCCCAGGCAAATAGGGACATTGGGACTTTTGATGGGAGAGGGGGCTTCTTCCCGGGGAGACCGTGCACTGAGCCCCGTACTCCCTGGACCACTTCTCCAGCCTGGCCTGCACAGGGAGCACCTGCACAGTGCCCTGGGGGGAGGGGGGCAGCAGATCTCAAAGGTGGGGCAGGGCATGGGACTGCGGTTCCACTCAGGTGGGCAGGGAAGTTTGAGCCCCAACTTGCAGGTAAGGGGGAGTGAGCCACATGGATGGTGGGGGGGAGGAAACAGCCCTGCCAAGGCCCTGGGGCAGATGTGCTGAAGGGTGTCCAGCCTGCCAGGTCGGGCAGGTGGGGGCTGCACTCAGACTGCAGGCAGGTGGAATTTGGCCTGAGCTCCTGGAACGACAGAGAGCCGTTGTCTGAACAGCGAGTGGGGGAGGACTTCTAGGAGGTTGTGGGAGACGATGGCTCCCTGCAGCCGCCTGGCTCTTTTATCCTACAGGGCAGGATGTGGAGGGGCCGGCTAGGAAGAGGCTTCATGTGATTCCAGGAGCAGGGGAGTGCCCGCCTGGCCAGAGGGGTGCAGCCATGTCTCTGCCTGCAGTGCCTGGGGGCCTGGAAGGGTCCAAGCCACAGGCGAGCAGGCAGCCTTGGCCCCCAGTCAGGGGAATGGAGGTTTGTGTTTGCCAGTTATGAGTGCTTTTATTTGCCTGGTTGGGTTACTGAGTGACAGTTAGAAATTTTGTTTGTGCTGTGTAGTTGTGATGTCACATAAAGTTGCTACAGAAAAATCCTATCAGAGGTTGCATGGTGGTGTGCGTCCCACTTGGGTGGTCCAGGAGGGCCCAGGGGCCTGGCCTCAGGCCCCTAGAGGCTGCAGACCACTGTACCTGGCACCATCCACTCTGGGGCCCCTCTGCATTTAGGTGTGTGGGTGCTGGGCCTGCGTGGCCGCGTCTGCCCGTCGGTCTGTGTGTGCCCCCAAAGGTGTGCGCTGACCCCGGTGGGCTGCACAGGTAGATGGGTGGGTAGGTGGTGGCCTGAGGTCCTGTGCTGAGGCTTGGACATCCCCTCAGGGTCTCCTCACTGCCGCCTGTGGTGAGAGCGGGCGACGGGCTCCTGTGGCTGGCTCGGCACCTGGGGTGCCAGTGGACAGAGGGGACACGACCCCAGACCCTGGACTGCTGGCGTTCCTCCGGGCTCACCCCACATCACTGCAGCCTTGGCAGTGCCTCAGTCCCTCCGCTTACGCACTGGGGCGCTCCTGGCACCAAGCCTGTGGGGTCTGGTGTGGATCCACAAGCAGCTGCTGGTGAATGGCTCGGTTTACAAAAAATGTGATAGGTCTGAACGATTTGTGGCTGACACCCCATGAAGGACGCTGCTGTGACTGGCTGTCTGGAGACATAGCCTGAACTTTCCCTGAGGCCCTTTTTGGGGGGGGGGGCGAGCCCTGGAGAGAGGGTGTGTCTGCTGCTGTGCCACCTGTGCCTGCAATTGACATTTCACCATGCTTCCTTCTACCCCTTTTTGTCATTTTTCTTCACAAGTGCTTGTTAGAAAGACAGACCCCAGCCCTGCCGGGTGTCCCCAGGGGCTGTCCCTCCCTGCAGGTTCCTAGTTCACACCTCTTGTCTGTTGTCCTTCTGATGTGCTCAGCTGGCCCCACCCTCATTCCAGGGCTTAGAGGCCGCCTGGCCTAGAAGGTTCTGTGATTTGACCCCATAGGTCAGAAGTGCTCGATGGCCTGGTTCCAGCCCCTTCCCCAGAGCGAGTAGCTCCCCTGTAAAGGTAGGACTAACCCCACGGGGACTTGCACAGTCAGGTCACATGGTGACCGCATGTCCACTCGTTCCGGACAGAGGTGGCCCATGGAAGCTGGGGAGAGAGAACTTGGGGCTTTCTGTGACAGTAAGAAGGCTAGGCATCCCGTGGGGGGCTCTGAGGTATGGGGGCGCACGCTGTGAGCATGTGGGCGTCGACGCTGGTCGTCAGGACCAGGCCTCAGAGAAGGGCCGGGCCCACCGCCCAGGCTGCGTGTGAGCACTCGTGCGTGGGCATGGTGGATGGGGGGCCTCAAAACCGCCCCCCTCACCACACCCATGTGTACCCCAGGGACCTATGGTGAATGGCACTGTCAGCCTGGCTGGGCCACATGTTCCAGGTGTCGGGGAGGCTGTTTCTGGTGAGGTGAACATTTAAATCTGTAAACGCAGTAAAGCAGATGGCTCTCCCCATGCATTTGGGCCATCCAGTCAGCTGGAGCCTGAAGACAACAAAGGTGGCCTTGAGCCGTGAGGGTTTTCCCCGCTGAGCTACACCGCGGCCCACCTGGGTCTCCGTGGCCGCAGCAGCAGCAGCTGCGCATCATAAAGCTCTCCGCCTGCACACACCATTGGTTGCCTCTCTGGAGAGCCCTAAGCCAGACACTCCGACCGCATGTGGCCTGAGGCCTTTCTCTCTTCTCTGTGGGCCTCTGAGCGCAGCCTGCACCATGGTGGGGGTGGGGGTGGGGATCCCGAGGGTGGGTGGTGAGGTTCTGAGGTAACAGATGTGCAGCCTGGTGCCGGGTGGTGGGTGGAGTGGCAGCATTCAGCGTGGACAGGAAGGGACTCTGGGGGCCTCACTGCTCTCTCGGGCCTGTGTGGGAACAGCCTGGTCGTGACAAGACCCGCCCTGGGACAGAGGCCTGAAGCAGCCGTGAGCGAGTGACAGGCTCTGCCTGTAAGAGGACATGGCACCAGCAGTCAGCACGCATTACGCACAATGTGTGTGGGGGCGAGGTGCCGTCTTCACCAGGACTTTCTCATCGCTGGGGGGGCACCCTCGGTTTTCTCCCCTGGGGAAGCCTGTGGCCGGGTGCTGACCCCGGGCCTGACTGGTGGAGCCTGCCCCCTGGCACTCCCTCCCGGCAGGTGACATGAACCTCCGCACTCGCTGCTCCCAGGGTCCTCCCCACGCAGCTCTGGGGGGGGGCCTGTCCCCTCAGCTTCCCTGCTGGTATTACCTTCCTGTCCTTAGTGGGCACTGGGGAGGAGCTGGGGGTGCACACATGAGCCCTCGCTGTGGGGTCGGAGGTCAAGGGGTGCTAGACCTCTTGTGAGAGGTTGTGGAGGGGTGTTCCTCCGCGAACCCCACTGTGAACCCTGGGTCTTGGTGACCATGGATTTGCACACCCCCCCTTGGGCTGTTGGGGAAAATCCTGGGAGTACGAATGTCCCACCTTTGTAGGGGAGGAGCCTGACCCCATGTGCAGCCACCGGGGTTGGGGTGGGGGGTCCGTCAGTCCCCCTACAGTTGCACTGGTTGCTTCCAGTCCAGGGGGTGGGGTCACACATGGTGGGTTGTCGTGGGGGTCCCGTGCCTGGAAGGATAGCTGTAGCCTGGCCAGCCCTGTCGGTGCTCCCCACGAATTCTGAGACTTGTGGGACACTCTGAAAGGAGGAGGGGTGTGGGGGGACTTCTTGAGGTGGCAGCTGGTGGTAGCACAGTGAGTTTCTGTCCCATTTCCAAGCCAGGGGACTACAACATGGGACACTGGTCCTTCCTGCCGCCAGGAGGGTTGACGCTTCTGAAGCCTTAGTCAGGCACCCACCTGGGAGCAGAAGCCGGCTTTGGGAGAAGCCTCCACGGTCACTGCTGGCTGCACGGGCCGGATTCCCTCAGGTCCTTAGGAGGCACTTCCTGTGGGGTGAGGGTATCACCTAGGGACACTCGCTGTGGAGATGAGGGTGTCACCTGGGGACACTCCCTGTGGGGGTGAGGGTGTCACCTGGGGACAGTTCTGTGGGGATGAGGGTGTCCCTTGGGCTGTGGGGCAGCAGCTCAGCTGTGGGTTGCATCACCCTTATCAGCCCTGTCTACCCTTCTTCAGCAACCCAGTGGAGCTGGTGTTCCCCCTGGACCCAAGCAAGAGGCCGGTGGGGGACACCGCCTCTGCTTATCACCAGTAGACAGCAGGCCCTCCTGGGCTCTGGGCACGTGGCAGGGGCTGCAGGCAGGTGGGCCCAGGACCACCTCTGCATGACAGGAGCCGCGCAGGGCAGTGCGCGAGGCCACGCTGCCGGTGTCGGCATTGGTGCGGCATGAGCTTGTTAAACACCTGCTGTGTGCAAGGCCCTGCTCCAGGCACCGGGGGTAGCTGGGAGCAAGACAGGCGCAGGTTTCTGTTCTGGGGGAACGGGTCTGCACACCCGGCTGAGATGGGGACCTTTCCCCGGACGGACTCCATAGTGTCAGGATTCTGGGCTGTGTGGAATTGAGTGATAAACCCACAGTGGCTCAGGAGCTGGCTATCTCTGCCTATAGCCAGTTACTGTAGTGATGGCCCTGAGCCCTGGACTGCAAGGGGCACCCCCAGGAAGGACCGTGCCTCGCCAAGGCCCTCACAGCTGTCAGTGTCGGCACTTGCTTCCCGCTGAGCTTGCGCGGGGCCCTGTGCTGGGCCAAGGATCAGGGCTGGGGCTCCTTAGGGAAATCAGTCACTCCCATCCAGCTTTTGCTCCACCATCACTGTCCCCTACCACGTCCTGACAGGCCCGCCCACACTCTCCTGACCCTTCTGTTCCCTGTCCATCTCTCTCCCAGCCTCCCACTCACATGTGGCCTTCCCAGCATGGGAGGCTCCTTCCTGGGTGTGAGTCCTGGTCTGACGGCCCGCTCTGGCCTAGCACCTCCAGGTGCCCGGAATGGCGTGGACTTGCTTTGTGTCACCGGTGGGATAACGTGCAGAGCCATGTGTCATTTCCAATTAACCAGCTTTGTCCTGCCTCACCCACAGAGGGACATGGCCCTGAAGCCACATGAACGGAAGGAGAAATGGGAACGTCGCCTAGCCAAGAAGCCCCGCGAGTCAGAAAACTGCCCGTCTGCAGAGCCGAGTGAGAACGGGCGGCCCCTGGAGGTGGGCAGCCCGGAGCCGGCACTGGAGCCCCCCTGTGACCGGGGCAAAAGGAAGGTCCCGCTGCAGCCCGCCAAGCAGGTGAGTGCTGGGCCCCACCCCACTCGGAACCTGGGGCTCTGTGCCCCCTTTTCCTGGTGCCCTTGGGGCCACACCAGCACCTGGACACCACCCATGGCACCTGGGCCTGCCTGGCAACGTGCTCCATGGTTGCCAGGCGTGGGGTGTGGGGCACATGTGGACTGGGGCCTGCGGTAGCCGCCCGCTGTGAGCCCGGATCCTGAGCAGGGGCAGAAGATCTGCCCAGGCGGGTCACAGCAGAGGGAGGACTCACCAGGCTGGGCGCCCAGGAATGGAGGTGGGTGGTGGGTACGCTCGGCTGGGCCCGAGGTGCACCTGCTGATAGGTCGGCCCCGTTTCCCCATCGCGTCTGTCAGGCTCCGCCGACCACAGGGTGTCCAGTGTGTCTGTAGCACGGGGACCAGGCGTGTTGGTGGTGCCACGCACCCACTGTAGTTACGTGAAGCACAGTGTGACTGCGGGTGGGGGCTGACTGGTTGGTGGTGTAGGCATGAAGAGCAGCCCTGCCCGGCGGGGCTCACAGCAGCTGGGAGCTGTCCCTTTTGGGAGGGGCCGTCCTTGCTGTCACCTAGGGCCCTGCTGGGACGGGGCAGGGTTGCGGCTGGGCTTTCTCCCAGAGTTCAGGGTTCTGTCCTCGGTGTGGCTCGGCACTGCGCTGCTTTCCTCCTCGGGGACTCACTGGTTTGCGCCTCCTTTCAGAGAGGGGTTCTTCTCGGTGTTTCACACTCCACTTTCAACTCACTTGGGGATCGGGCTGCTGGTGAGGGGGCAGCATGTCTCAGGGGCCCGGGCTGGATGGGGGGGTCTGCAGGCACACTTGCCCAGGTGGACACGTGCTCTTTCTTCCATGCAGGTGTGCTCCCCAGAAGGGGGGCCGCTCCCAGCCAACCACTGGGACCAGAGCGGCCCGGCCCAGCACCAGCAGCAGCTCCAGCCCAGCCAGCCCCAGGGGTCACTCCCAGCCCCGTGTCAGCGCTGCCAGCCCAGTCGGGCTCTCCCGGACCCTGGGCAGCCCTGCCAGCCCCAGCAGCCACTCCCGGGTCAGCGCAGCTGGCCCCAGCGGTCACTTCTGGGCCCAAGACAGCCCTGCCAGCCCCGGCGGTCACTTCTGGGCCCAGGTCAGCCCTGCCGGCCCCAGCGGCTGCTTCCAGCCCCAGATCAGCCCTGCCGGCCCCAGCGGTCACGCCTCGCTCAGCCCTACCGGCCACGTTGGGCGCTCCTAGGCCCCAGGCAGCACTGCCGGCCCCAGCGGTCCCTCCTGGCCCCATGCCACCTCTGCCGGCCCCTGCGGTCCCTCCTGACCCCGTGCCACCTCTGCCGGCCCCTGCGATCCCTCCTTGCCCTCTGGCACTGCTGCTGTCCTGCTCGGTTGTGGGTGGCTCCGTGTCTCCACGGCCAGCCCAGCAGGGCATCCTCAGGACAGCGGTGCCGGCCCGTTTGGTCCCTGATAGCCCAGTGCCGGCGGTGCCAGCCCCCACAGTCACTCGCCGTGCCGCATCCACACTGCCGGCCCACCAGCTTCCTCTCAGGCCAGTGCTGCTGCCCTCGGCGGGCGCGTCTAGCCCCGTGCCAGCCCCGAAGGTCCCTCCTGGGTCAGCCCTGTCACCCCCGGCGGTCACTGCTGGGCCTCAGTGAGCCCCAGCAATTAGTTGAAGCCCCAGAGCAGCCTGGCCCTCCCAAACCTTCATTGCTGGGCCCCAGACAGCTGCACCAGCAGAAGCAGCCACTCCTGGGCTCAGAACAGCCTCACCTACCCAAGCGGCCACTCCTGGGCCCAGAACCGACTTGCCGTCGAAAGCGGCCACTCATGGGCCCAAAACAGCCCCTACGGTCGCTCCTGGGCCCGAGCCCGCCCTGCAAACCTCAGCCGTTGCTCCCCATCCCCGAGCGCCCATCGCTTCTGGGACGGCCAGCCCCGCCCCGCCGGCCTCTCCTGGGGTCCTTGAGCCATCCTCGGCGGTCCCTGCTGGACGTGGGTCGGGCCCACCAGCCCCTGGCCCTGGGCCGTCCCTGCTGGCCCCTGAGGTCACGACGGACTCGATCCTCCACCCCCGCGGTGGCCCGCCAGGCCCCATATGTGAGCCCAGGAGCCTGATGCCGTTTTCCAGCCCAGCCCAGCCCAGCTGTGGCCGCGTGGGCCGGGCCAGGGCCAGGGCCGCCTCACCCTGCAGCCAGACTGGTTGGAGGTCTCCAGACCAGCTGGGCTATTTGCGGTGGGACCTGAGGCCCAGCGGAGGCAGGAGCCCTGCAGGGCAGCCGCCAGCCTGAGGCCTACCTGCACCAGGAAGAGAGGAGAGAACCCCCAGCGTCTTCCGCCTCACGCCACAGCCACCGCTCTGTGACGCGCACGCCCCTGGGAGAGGGAACGTGGCCACTGCCAGGGTGCAGGCCGCGGGGGTCCTTCATGTCTCTGTGCCTCTAACGTGCCCATGTGTCCGTGAACGTCGGAGTCTCCGAGCACGCCCGCCCCAGGTGTGCAAGTGTGCATGCACGTATGTGCTGATGTGTGCGCACGCGTGTGTGGCTGGGGGAGTGTCAGCTACAGGCCTTGCTTCCTTGGGCCCCACCCGCCCCCAGGCAGAACGTGGACACGCTGCTGCCACCCTCTGCACTATCTGGCAGAGGGCAGTGTGTGTCCACCTCCAGGGTGCTGTGACCGGGGAGGGACCAGAGGCGCTCAGGGCTGACTATGGTCCAGTAGAAGCTGCTGGTGGCAAGGAGGGGTGCCCCCAGGACTCTGCCCCACCCCAGTGGCTGAGCACTGACGTGGGTCTGAGTCTCCCGCCAGCCCAGCTCTGCGCTGGGAGCCCACAGGGCCTGGGCCGTGCTCAGTGCCCCCCTTGGCCTCCCTGTCCTCTGACGTCCCAGACTTGACACTACCGGGTCTCTGCTCCTGCCCACCTCTCACCCTAGCCCCTGGCTCAGGGCAGGCCCACCACGGCTCTCCTGGAGTCCTGACTCCAGGCCAGCGCCCTGCGCACCCAGACTCACCTGGCTGCGACCCTGCTTGTGGAGGTGCCCGACCTCCAGGCCCAGGCCTTCCCCTCCCTACTTGCTCAGAGGACCCTGGCTGCCGCTGGCTCTCGGGGATCCTGACCAGCCAGGTGTGGCGCCTGCCCCGGAGCAGGGCCCACAGGTGTCTGTCTTCCCAGAAATGTGGGGCCTATTTTTCTGATTAAAGAAAATAAAAAGTGCCGTGCCATTATTTTTATAACAGCATCAGTGTTTGTGATTTAACAGACGAGTAAGTTGTACGTGAAGTGATTTATTCTGACGAGTGGTTTTCTGCACACCTGGACTTGCCTTGCGTTCATTACCTTCCGAGCAGCCGGGGCCGGCTCGACAAGGCTCACCGTGCTGTGTGATATGGGCTTGGGGGTCCTCAGCTCACCAGCCGCCCTCCAAGTCACACTGGAGCCCCTTGGACCGGCTTCCGTCCGGTCCCTTGGAGCCTCTGCCCTGGAAGGGGCTCCTCCTAGATGCTGACCCTCATGTTCCCACCGTGCTCTGTGGTCACACGCTGAGGGTGGCAAGCGTTCAGGCCATGTGTTCACCCCAAACCCTCCTGACTTGTGGGGCAGTGTAAGTACCTCTGCCCTGGGAGTGTTGGCCAAGGCACTGGAGTGCCGCTAAGTGGGGGGACAGAGGCCCATGGGGCACCCCACACCGTGGCCTAGACTCCCCTTCATTTCTTCCCCTCATCCTGAATGGCCCCACAGTGGGTAAGACCTGCCTGTCAGACAGGGGTAGGCGGGCCCTGGGCCCCTGCTGTTCCCTGTGTGGTCACTTCTGGAAAAGGGGCTTGGGCTCCATCTAAATCCAGAGGGCCCGCAAAGCCCTATGTGACACTCCCCACACACACCCCCCCACACACACACCCCATGGCCACGGCTGCCTCTGCCTCAGGTTCAAAGTGCTGGGACCCTGAGGGGGTGTGGGGAGGTGCCCACTCGCTGTGGGGGAACCAGACTGCATGTGCCATGTCCCCGGGGCATGTCCTGGGAAGCCACTGACAGCCGTGTTGCCGTGAAGAAAGACAGGTCCTGCATGGCAGATCTGTGATGTTTCTGAGAGCAGCTGGAAGGGGTTTTTCTGTGGATTTGGCAATTTTGAAATGTTGGTAGGTAAATCTGATTTTCTGAGCCACATCACTGGCCAAAGGACACAGCTGTGTTGCCCTGGTGACAGAGACTTGGGCCCTGGCAGCTGATTTGGCTCCAAGGCCATGGGTGTGGGGTGTGGCCCGCCTGTTGTATGGAGAGGGGATGGAGTGAGTTGGGGTGTCCTGGTGTCTGGGGGAGGCCCTGTGCTGCCTCAGGAGCCCCTTGAATGGAGACTGGAGCTTGGGCCCCGTGCTTTGCTGGGTGTCCCCTCTGTGGCCTGCAGTGTGCCCCGCCCGCCCTGCACAGGCCCCTGCACCCACCTCCCATCTGCAGACGGGGCCTGGAGGTGGGGACTAGAGCCCTGATGCAGTGCCTGCTCCCTGCTCAGCCCGTGAGGCAAGGGGCATGGTAGTAGTGGCTGTCGTTTGTTAGGGTGGAGGAGGGGGTGTCCGTGTTGGAACCCCAAAGGTGACGCTGGGACCGAGTGCGGTGCAGGTGCTCACACTAAGGATACCCCTTGGGATCCAGAGCGGGGCAGGAGGGGCTGGAGCAGGGTGACCCCTGACTGGCTGACAGGCTCCCGTCCCTGAAAGGGGTCAGGCACCATCCAGGACCCACCTGGGACACCCAGTGCCAGCTGGCAGAATCCCCGGGGAGGAGCCTGTCTGCGTGCATGCCCTGTCCTTCATGCGTGCGCACGTGCCTCTTCTGAGCATGGAGGTGCTGTCATGTGGGCCCAGCTTCAGGTGAGCGCCCAGTCACTGCCAGCAAGTCCTGCCCTTCATTTAAGGAACACCTGGGGAGGACGGGTCTCTGGATGGCCCCCTACTCGCTGAAGAGCTTTTCCTGAGCACCTGTGTCGTCAGGTGCTGTTTCAGGTACTGAGGACACATCCTG